ATCGGAGACCTTTCAGGGGGTCTTGGCTGCTCAAACCTAATGTATCTTAATCTGGAACAAATACATAGCCTCTGGCTTTCTGTGGAAACAAAAGCAGAGCCTCCTTTCCAAAGAAGCATATCCTTACATCCAAATTTTGAAGTCAAGGTACCTTTAAAATATACATATTGGCTTAACTCAACAGCTTTTACAATCAAATGTCTTTCTGCAGTTAAGAATCCCAAAGACAACACAGATTCTCTGTGTAATATCCATCTTTACATGTCTTATTTTTTATATTAATTTTACTGTCTCTTTAAAGACTTGATTTTTTAAAACTATGTATTTCTTTATATAACTGCATACATTCCTTTTTCTCTCTCTTCCAAGCCTACATACATTTTTACACACATTGTAAACCATTTAAAGTCTTGCTCCTTCTGAATCTGCCTTATTGTGAACCTATTGAAACTGCATTACTAGGGCTCAAATAGCAGCTTTGGCTGCTGGCTCCACTCACCTCAGCTTCCCAACATGGCGGTGGTACATTTACCGCCAGCTCTGGGAACCATCAACTCTTAGAAACAGTGGTTCTATGCTTCTATCAAAGGAGTGTGTAGCCCAGAAACCTCTTTTTTTTTTTTAACTAGCAAAAACTATATCCAACACACAGCATAGTGCGCAGCTTGGAGACACCTCTGTGTAACATGGGGTAGGTCAAGCCTGCACACACACCACGAACCCACCATAGAGTAGCTCAAACATGCAGGCTGTTGCTAACTTGAGAGAGACAACTAGGAAGCTGTTTTTAGCTCCGCTTTAGAATCTTTTTTCTCAGGTTTTGGGTGGAAACTCTTGCCAACCCGTTGGGCACCATTTGTTGCTGGAGTTTTCTCCAGTCCTGCCTGGCCCACAGTCAGGACAAATCTCTCTCACCCGCCAGTCCTGCAGCCACTTAGACCCAACCAAGTAAACACAGACTTATATTGCTTGCAAACTGTATGGCCGCAGCAGGCTTCTTGTTAACTAGTTCTTATATCTTAAATTAATCCATATCTATTAGTCTATAAGTTGCCACGTGTCTCATGGCTTCCCAGTACCTTACATCTCACAGCGTCTCTCTGCCTCAGCCTTCCACTTCCCAGAATTCTCCTGTCCTTGTCCCACCTATACTTCCTGCGTGGCTACTGGCCAATCAATGTTTTATTTATTAACCAATCAGAGCAACACATTTAACATACAGAACATTCCACAACATATGGGGGCTATTTACTTTCAAATTACCACAATAATGAAGATAGATTTATTTAGCTTTGCTTCATTTTTATGTAAGTCAGTCATGTAAAGGATAATTTATTTTTTAAAGCAAAAAATAATATTCAAACTGCTGCTCATCTGACTCTAAGGCAGTTAATGGATCTAGTCGATTTATTTATTAAATCATTCTTTGAAGGATAATTTCTTATAGGAACAACCTAGATCTTTTCTTATTTAAATATTTGAAATAATAAACTCTGAACTTCAGTGTGTCCTTCCACCTCTCCGTGGACAAGCTGGCCCCTGAAGCCCTTGCACGGGGAAGTGTTAACGGCACCGTGAGTTGTCACTGCTGCGGCTAATGTGGCACAGGCTGGGTTTTTCAGGACGCTGGACCCACCCCTTACACTGTAGGAACTCAGTGTCTTGTGGATTTACTTCCTACTCCGAACTGGGCACTGCAAAGTGAGTCCAGTGCTGATTTCTAGATTATGTAAAATTCTATCGTAATGATGAATTAGCTGAAGTCTAGAGAGTTAGAAACACGGACAGAAGAAGCAAACAGGAGGATGTATCAAACAGCAGGTGCCAGCCTGTGTCTACTCTCATGAGCCTCCTGGGGTTTGCATATGTAAATGATTAATTAGCTCATTCCCTTTCCCTTATGGACATGTCATTTTACAGCTCTGACCATAATAACCATAAATATTCTTGCTAACTTGAAAAGGAGGTGAATTTTCCAAGCTGGTAGGAAAAGAAAAAGTAGGAGAAAATTACAGAACACTGGACATGGAACATGTAATGTTTGAAAGTCACGTGATGTACTAATGTGTCTGATGTGCGAGCAAGCCAGCCTCAGCCCCTGTGTAAAGAATGCAGGTCCTAACCAAGTAAGACAAAAAATAAACCTGCACACAAATACACTTTGACTTGTTCAGACTGGAGACCAGAACTTCGGAGAGAGTCGATTAGGGCGGTACAGAGGAGGAGCTGAAGATGGAGGTGTGGAGCAACAAGAAGACGTCAGCGCTTTGAAAGGAGACCTGAACTGACACCAGCCTGGCGAAACGGGCGGCAAGGAGAGGACCGTGGGAAGAACAGCCCTCCCCAGCAAAGAGGAGAGTGGCAAGGCAACTGACTGCAAGACCAGCAGCTGCTGCCGAAGGAGAGCGGGGTTGGCTGGACCACAGAAAGCCTCTGAGACCAAAGCAGCGGACAGCAGTCCTGAACACTGTGGTCTGCGCCTGGGAAGGTTCAGCTAGGGAAGGACAACGCGCTCTGAAAGACCTCTGTCGGGTGTGAAACAGCTGAGATGGCCACGCACTGCATGTGGGGAAGTCACGGCTCGCGTTCTCCACAGACCACAGGGGCTTCTAAAGAAGGGACTTGTTTAGGGAGCATTCCGGATCAAGGAAGACATTTCTCTACAGCTGTGGGTGTGGAAATTTTAAACGGCCAACACCCAGTGGGCTACAAAAGGCATGGTGGGTTTGGGGGTCTTTTTTCTTAATTCATGAGTACAAAGTGTACTTATTTATAGTATACAGCATGGTATTTTTGTATATGCATTTATTATACAATGTCTACAGCACAACAATTAATATATAGTCAGATGCTCCAGAGTTAACATTTAAAATAGAGTCTTGGACATGATGGGAAGAGGTGCGGAGATGACCAGCCACACTGGTGGAGACCCATGAACTGTGGACTAATGGCTGTGGAGCCCCCATGAGACTAGGCTAGACCCTCTGGATATGGGAGACAGCTGTTTAGCTCGAACTGTTTGGGGACACCCAGGCAGGGGGATTGGGATCCATCCCTAGTGCATGGGCAGGCTTTTGGAAGCCCGGTGACTGCGGTGTGGCACCTTGGGCAGCCTTAGTGCAGCGGGGAGGGCCTTGGACCTGCCTCAGCTCAGTGTGCCAGGCTTGATTTGGAGGTTGTAGGGATCAGGGGTGGCTTAGAAGGGAGAGCTGGGGGGTGGGAGGAGGGAGGAGGTGGGATCTGTGGGTGGTATGTAGGGTGAGTAGAAAATTTCTTAATTAAAAAAAATATTGATAGATAGATATAAAATAATAAATAAATAAATATAAATAAATAAATAAATAAATAAATAAATAAATAAATAAATAAATAGTCTCAGAAAGCCGGGAGGTGGTGGCACACACCTTTAATCCCAGCACTTGGGAGGAAGAGGCAGGCGGATCTCTGTGAGTTCGATGCCAGCCTGGTCTACAAAGTGAGTTCCAGGAAAGGCACAAAGCTACACAGAGAACCCCTGTCTTAAGAAACAAAAAAATAAAAATAAAATAAAATAGAGTCTCTGCAACTTTTGAATATATATTACTAATTGCAATATACAATGCTCTAAAATCCCAGTGCTCATTTCTTGCTGCAAGCCACAAGGATATATTATAGATTTGGCTTTATATAATAAGGCTATACCTAAAAAAGTCAAGGAATTTTTCTAGATGGAAGCCACATATCAGGGAATGTTTGGTGTTATACAGTTTTTAATATATCCACTGTCTTTTGCTATGAATTTCTTGTGCACTCATATACTACTAGGCCTTAACAGCAAACAGTATAAGCTTCTCAGATCTACTGCTGATCTGAACTAGGTAACACCTCCTACAGAGCCTAGGAGACAGGCAGACTGTAGATGCATAGCTTTGTTTCTTGTGCAAATGAAGCTCAAGCCATCCCTTTCCTTCAGGACTAGTGGCATTGCAGACCTATTGACTCAGGACAAAAGGATTTTTTACATAACCAAGTGCAGTAAAGACTGGAGCAGAATTCCTGGTCCCGGCAGAGTCAGGTAGAGCTTTTGTAGAGAGTAGGGATTAGGTCAGATCAGGAGAAGAAAAAGGAAAGATGGAGGACAGAGGAGTGGAGGATTAGGATGAGTTTGAGAGTGTAAGAGCTTAGTTATTAGTGCTGTGAGAGGACAGGAAAAGAAGGGACAGAGTGTGAGTTCAGAGCTAAAGCCATGTAGATAGAATTTTGTCTTAAAGTAAGAAGGGGGATGGACAGAAGAGCACAGTGTACGCAGACCTCAGATAACCCCATGCCAGCCCTAGCGTCTTCCCCAGGACACTGGGTTTCTCAGGGCAGGCCCCTGGGAAGATTCTGATAATTTCCCCTGTTTTCTGATCATCGAATGACACAGGGCTGCCTGTCTGTCAAAAGAAGTTGGTGATGAGACACTGTAGCAGTGCAGGGGACGTCCCCAGTATGAATTCAGGCACCATGTGTTTTAAGAGCACAAGTTTCAGAGAGCAGGGGGCTTCAGGGGCATCAGAGTAGGGTTAGACCCACACTGGCCAACAGGCTTACGACAAAGAGCACCCTCGGGCAGCAGGTACATTCCATGAGGATATGGCCCCTGTCACTGTTAACCACAAAGCAAAGTGCAATTGGCCAAAGTACTCAGCTAAAGGGTGTGTGCATCCCTGAGGCTCCAGAGTGTGGATCTGAGGAGGTATGAGGTCTTCCCTAGGGCATGGCCACAGACCACCACCTGACTGTGGTACACTAGGGAAGGAACCTCAGATCTGTGTGCTTGAGAACTTAGTTCTGATTTGAAAAGTCTGAAGCCCGCACAGTGACCAAGCAGAGAGGGACGGTGCTGTGCCTCCCGGGCAGTGCAGGGCCTCACGCATCCCGGGTGCAGCTCCTGAAAATGGTCTCGGGACATAACTGGGTACAGTGTGCGAACCATGGTCTCTACACTAACTTGATTCTTGTTTTTTACTGTTCTTCAGCTTTATGCCAAGGACCAGGAAGTAAGTTTTTCTTACATTTTCAGTATCTAATGTCATCAGACTCCCACATAGACAGAGGACTGCTCCCCTTCTTCTCTGTGTTCTGATAACGCAGGGTGACTGGACTTGGAGCCGGTGATTCTGTAGCTTGCCTTCACTGACCATGTTAGCTGCATTGAGCCCACCTTGACCACACATTCCTCAGCTCCATCAGCCCATTCTCTTCTGTGTCTTTACACTCTCCTCCCTTCAGACCCCCTCCTTAAGCTGTGACACTGTGACACAGATGAGTCTTCCTCCCTCCGACTGCCACCCCGCCTAACCACAGCGCCCCCCCCCCGCCCCCCCCCTCGGGCAGCCCACACTCTTCTTGCTGGCTGTGGGCTGTGGAGCTTAGGGAAAAGCTATTGCTCATGTCCTACGTAAACTGAGGGTCATGAGACAGGACCTGCTCACAAACACGTTTAAATCGTGTCTGCTTGTTGACTGAAGTCTTCTTGGGATAGGGGCTGTTGCCAGGCTGCCTAGCGCTGCCTCCCCCTCCTGCCGGCATCCTGCTCACATCAGACACATCAGTAGTTGTGCGAGCACAGGCAGGTGACTCAGTCTGTCCCAACAATGCAAATCAATTACTTAAGTAATTACAACAACCAGGGTTTTTTAAATTTATTTATTTATTATATATACAGAAAAAGGTGCCAGATCTCCTTACCAATGGCTGTGAGCCACCATGTGGTTGCTGGGAATTGAACTCAGGACCTCTGGAAGAACAGTCAGTGCTATTAACCTCTGAGCCATCTCTCCAGCCCACAACAACCAGTTTTAAGTTTCTCAAAAGTGAGGAAGACTGAGGTGGTAAAGTCTAAAAAAGTCTCCCGGGTCAGATTTCAGCAAAACAAACACGTTTTCTAAATAAAGGAAAGATGAAGAGAAGGAAGAAATTTTTTAAGTAAGGAAATCAGGGATAAATTTAAAAAATAAATAATCCCAATTAGAGAGTTTGGGTTTTTTCCCCAGACCTATACATGCTTCAGATAATTTTCCACTCTGAAAATTACTCATCTGGATTCATATTAAATCCATTTTCCTAGTGGTAAAATCATTCCATCTTGCCCAAATGTACATCACGTTATTTGAAAAACCCTCCTACCCCTAACCTCATCCCCAATGCACCACAGCCTCAGTGCCCTGTAGCCAGATGAGTTTATTATCTCAGGTGTCAAACTCAATCAAACCAATTGACACCTATTCTTAAACCAGTGAAAAGGCCTCATTGGCCCTCCCTCCCCAGGCCACAGGCCTCTGGGGCTAGCCCCACCACACTGCTGTGGAAGGCCATGGGCTTCCTGCCTTCCATCCAGCCTCACAGGAACTCCTGAATGAGCCACTGCCAAGCCAGTCCATCTGCAAGGGTATTTTGTTTGGTCACCATATTAATTTTAATTATTAAGCTCAAATATTTTTAGATAGATGGACTTTTCGAGTCGGCAACACCCCTATGATGGCTCATCCTGGCAGAGCCGCAGTCCTGAGACTGTGTGTGTGCACAGAAACTTCAAGTGTGCCTTCTTGTGTGTGTGCATGTGGGTACTTGTGCATGTGCACACATGCGTGCCCATGTGTGTGCCTGTACATGTGCCCCTGAAGACACCCAAGGGCACTGATCATCAAGCAGCAGAGTGGCCAGCAGGCTATCTACCTAGGATGAACGCTTAGCACAAACTGCAGAACAGATTCCGTTCCCATTTGGAGGAATCTCCACAGAAACTGCCCTGGATCCCAAGTACACTTTCTTTAGGGTTTGCCAGGGCACTTGAGCCTGGCGCTTCCCTGCGTCCACACTGACGGCCCACAGACTCGAGTCTTCTCTGTCCCTCTGTGCCTCCACACCGTGTTCCCAGCAGAATTTCCTCTTTTCCCATTTGTTTTTATTCTGGATTTTCCCCCACTGGGGTCTCAAAGCAGTACTAAGACATGAGGAGCACAGTTTCCACTCTAAACATGAGGAAGCCAGGCACAGCAGATTGATGTGCCCAGCACCAGAGCACTGAAAGTCACAAAGCTGACACTCGGGTCTGTGACCTCAAGACTCTGCACCACACATCTGAAGGGAACAGTCACCTGCCTTCTGTGGTCCAAATTGTAAGACCATTCTGTCCTTTCTGCAATGTTTTTGTGAACTTTTAAAGAATTTCATACCGTGTATCTTGACCATAGTCACCACCACCTGCTTCTTCCCAGACCCGCCCCTCCCCGACCACGCCCTCTCTTGAGGAGACTGTCTCTTGAAGTTGTGTTGGTCATCCTGCCCCGATGGTCTTTCCATCCCTTTGTCAGAGATGTTCTCTAAGTACAGGGGTTGTGCCATAAATGTATTAATTGGGGGTAAGCACCGAAAATGCAGTTGATTTCTGCATTTTTATCACTTGTGGCTTTCAGTAATGATCTCAATTTCTGTTTACAGACAAAGCAAAAGGCAGCAAGTCCCGAGATAATCTGGGTAAATTTCTCTGATCTGTAATCCCATTCTTGGGTCTTCTGTGCAACGCCTGCTCTGGGGGAGCTTGCAAAGGGTGGGAGCAGACACAGACGCAGGAAGCCCTGCTGCTGGCCTCTTCCTGTCTGCTCCTCCTTCAAGACCCTCTGAGTGACGGTCCCGCTGCTCTGCGCAACACAGTGAACATTCTGCTAACAAAATCCGAGTTCATTCACTTAAAAGTGCCAGAAAAATTGAGGGGCCAGAGGAAGCACTTCATCAAAAATTTGCAGGAAGACGTGGTGAAAAGCAGGAGGGGAGGCCCTGACGAGGGCAACTGGCTTTAGTGAGAGGGTGGCCTCTGTCTCCTAGACAGCAAAAGGAAATGCAGACTGGCTTCCCGGCATCCTCCTATGTGAATCTGGCCTTAGCGAATGCTTGACCTGAAACCCCCCAAAACAAATGTCTGTAAGTTATGCTCCTTCCAAGTTTAATTTTATGTTTTTTGGGTTTTTTTAGCAGGCAACGCAGGACACATCAGTAAGTTCCTCTCTGCGCTTTGATCCTCATTCGCTGCACCTTGCTTCGCAGAATAATTACAACGTTCAGAGTCGTGGAATCTCTACTTCTTCCTGCAAACACTGTCTCTCCTTTCCTTTCCTCCTCCTCTGTCCTTGAGACACTGGACACCCCTTGGAGATGGGATTACAGAACCTAAACCTGCTCAGGAACAGGCACAGCCGAGTGAAAAGTAGGAATGTCCCTCCATTTGAAAATCTGGTGGCACTCACGGGAGAAGGCTAACGTGGTCTCCTCCTCAGTAACACGGGAGAAGGCTTCGGTGGCATTCAGTGAGTCCCACCTGCAGACGGAGGGTCCCCACACCAACAGTGATGTTTGTAGAATGAGTGGAGTGTGCCTATGAGCACAAGTCTAGAAGAGGAGCCTACAGACTATTGTGGATGGTACTCTAACAGCACATCTGTCAGGAGCCAGCGGATGCAGGGCGAAAGATGTGAGTGACTTAGGAAGGAAATAAAACCCGCATGTGGTTGGCCCAAATTGAGTCAGCTTTCCATCCCTGTGGAGTTTCCGCACAGTAGTAGCCATAAAGGGACTACTGACAAGAAAAGTGAACCTCCCTAGGACTCAGTGTGTTAACACATCTGCCCACGATTTCTGAGGCGGATCAGACCTTGAATAGGTTAATCCCGAAGGAAAGAGAAAAAAAGAATGTCAGAGTCAGGGCTCATGAGTCACACCCCGCATAAGGAGGTTATTTTGCAGAGTACAGGAGTCTAGGGTCCTAATCCCTTTACCCACAATCCCTACCTAGAATGTCTTCAATCTGTCATATTCCTCTGTGACAAGCCTGGTCTGGTGAACAAGGCCCTAACTCGTCGCAAAGGTAGGAACTCCATGGTCTCCTTGAGAAGACGAGGCCATTGACTCCAGCTGACCAGTCCCAGCTGGGCAGCGGAAAGGAAGGCATGGCCACGTCAACAGCACGCTGCCCAGGGGAGGGTGCCGACCTCGGCTAGTGCTGCCCAGTGAAGTGGAACTTCACTGTTAGTGTCTCTTTCCGATTCTTTCCCAGAAAGATTTTTATGTAAACCGTTTTCCTCCGCTCAAGAACTAACTGACTTCTTTTTGTTTTTTCCAATATTTTAGCTGGAACCATCGGACCTATCAGTGAGTTCCTTTTTATCTCTTTGTCCTTCTATGGGACCCTCCCCTCTCTGTACCCCACCTGTCTCAACTCCCATGCCGGAAGAATTTCCCACGCATTTTCCTGATTGCTTTCAAAGTTCATGCCACCTCCCGATGTCCAAGACCTGAGACAAAGTGCCCTGAAAGATCACTGAGTTTAAGAAAAGGGAAAGTTAAACCATTCTTACATTTTTCTTTTGTTGGGTTTTTTTTTTTTTTAATGTTTTTATTTAAGATGGGTCCTGAATACCTTGCTCTGATAGGAACTTTTGAGATTCTCTGCTAAATTACTTGCCATCTTTGTGTCATTGTCATTGTCCCTATGGTTGAGCTGTTCCATGATTTCTTGGGGAAATATTGGTGGCATGCACACTCTGCAACTGTCAGCCACATTGACGTTCCCTTGTTCACATTGCAGTGCAATTCTCCGCGCCGATCCGTGAGTATCTGCCGCCCTTTTGATAGCGGACCTGCAGGGGTGGGGGTGGACCTGCAGGGGTGGGGGTGGACCTGCCCCATTCCTTGGTGCTGTGTTCCCCGGGCATCTCATTACAGTTTCCAAAGGGGCCGAGCGTGAATTGCAATGACCTCAAATCCCACGTGCTAACTTAATAAAAAACAAAATAAGGGCCTCCAGGGGGCAGTGTGATCGCCCTAAAGAATGGGAGGGTATACTTCTCAAACCATAAGTCTCTGGGGAAATGGAAGAAGACAAACCTACATGGAATGAGTCTTTCTCGGTTGCCTAAGGCTGAACCACCACAAAACAAAAAGAAGCCTCCACTCCTGCAGGTCCCATAGGTTCCGTCTGTGATAGTTCTGCTAGAATGAAAGCTGAGAGGCGGGTACGCAGGTATTTCCTTCACGCCAATTAATGATCTCTATCTTCCTCCCCTCTCTCCAGCTGGAGCTACAGGACCTATCAGTAAGTTTCTTGTCTGATTATCCTCGGTGGTGATTACTCTTTTTCTGCAGTAGCTAACGGTTCTTTTCCTGCTTTCTATGGTGGAGTTCCAAAGGTCCGGAAGTGCCATTTTTCTGACCTTTTTGGTTTTCCTCCGAGTGGCATTTCAGTGAGTCATCTGTGACGTGTGGATACACATTTCACTGACAAGCATGAAGTAGAGGATGGACCCTTGTAGAAAGTTTCCAGGGGTGTACCAACATCCCAAAAGGGGCTTCTAACAACAGCATGAGGGAGGCCAGTGGGAGCGGAAGAAAACAGTTCCAGTAGGCAGGGTTTAAATGAAACCTCTGCCAACCACTTCTCAGGGGAGCCCTCGGGCAAAGGGCTTTTCTCTGCCTGAGCTTGCTCTAGCACTTAAACTTACACACTCATGGCAAGAGAGTCATCTTGCTGCAGCCTCCCTCAGGTATACAGTTCAGTCCTCACCAGAGAAAGCATGGAGATGAGAGCATTGGTATCCAGAGCCCAGAGTCACCTACTAATTCCCCCTTCTTATTTCCTTCTTTTCTGTTTCTTCCAGGGCTGTCTCAGAGAACCATCGGTAAGTCACCTCAGTATCCATTGCATGTTTGGACCCTGGAGATACTTAGGCTTATAGTCTGGTTCGTGTCCATTACATCTACGCACAGACTCAAACACCGAGCGCTGCCGCTGCTTGATTATCCCTCCCAGAACTCCTATAGGGGGCGTTAAACCAGGCTCAAGAGTGGAAAGATAGTAACTGTGGAAGTGGAACCCGCGAGCCTGGGGTGTCCCCTCCTGGCCCGCTTGTCACAGTCAGCCCTTTAGAGCCTGCCCACAACAAAGATTTTCACTACAGCGTGGAGACCTCCCCCACTCCATGCAGTTGTTTGTCTTGTAAATGACGTAAACATCGTTTCCTCTGACTTCTAATTTCCCTGAGGACTTTTCTCCAGACAGTCGGTTCGTTGTCACCAACTTCCAAGGCAACTGTCACTGCCTGATATACGTTTTCCCTCAGAAACAGTACAAGCAACAGCTAGGTGCCAAGATAAAATTGTCCATTGTTAGAGCTTTATAAATTGAGTCCTAGCCACATATAAACTTTTTTTCCATGATATGTTTTATAGTCTTACTAACAAAAATTAAGATTTTTGTTTAAATTCTGCAACTAAATAAGTATGACGTGAGGCTGGCTCCTCTAGATTCATGTGATCAACCAAATGAGCCATCGCCGGCTGACTCTGAAATGTCTCGGTACCATTTACATTATTTACATTATTTACTGGGGCCGAGCAATGATGACTAATGACGAGTGAGGCAGGTGTCACACTGTCCTTAATAAGGTGGGGGCTCAGGTTCTTTTTTTTAAGTGCATTGGTATCTGCCTGCATGTATGTCTGTGTGAGGATGTCAGATTCCCTGGAACTGGAGCCACAGACAGTTGTGAGCTGCCATGTAGGTGCTGGGAATTGAACCCAGGTCCTCGGGGAGAGCAGTCAGTGCTCTGAACCACTGAGCCATCTCTCCAGCCCAAAGACTCAGGTCTTATTGACTCTGAGTCCTTCTGCTACCATCTTTGGGTGTTAGAAGCGGCTTATGGAACGTGCTGGGTTCAGGAGAGAAGGGGCCACGGGAAGACGAAGGTGAAACAGCAAAGCAGAAGAGGATGAAGATGACAGAGAGAGAGAAAGAAAAGAGAAAACAGAGAAATGGAAGAGAAAAGGGGAAGAAGAGTAAGAGATGCAGGAGGCAGAGACTCAATATGGCTGAGACAGGGCAGAAAAGGACAGCTGCACAGGATGGCACCGGATGGCACCGGATGGCACCGGATGGCACCGGATGGCACCGGATGGCACCGGATGGCAGTGAGGGAAACTGAAGAAAGAGAAAAAATGTGAAATTATCATGTACCCACGGAGTTGGTGGCTGACATTAAGTTAGCAGGTATTCCAGGAGCTCTATCCCAAAACAAGGGTATGCACACACACACACACACACACACACACACACACACACACACACACACACGTAGGGGGAGAGAAATTGCTAAATTATGTTGCAAAACACCGAAAATTCTAGCTTGTCTGCTGCTCGTCGCCCAGGGTTCCCAGATCCGGGAAGCCACCTTCAGATGGTGGGTCAACCGCAGACACTTTCCATCATGAGCACCGTGGCATGCGGTGTGGTGGGAGAGAAAGAGGCTGCCTCCCTGTGGGGGTCCTTTGGATTGACCCAACCGCACCCACGCGGGATTACCATGGCCATCTGATGCCGGCTGATCGGTGTGACCTCAGGAGAGGCTGTCAGCCAGCAGCCAAACCCCTTCTGAGAGGTGTCCTCGCTGTGGTCTCCACAAGGCTCAAAAGCCGTCTGGGCACCATCCTCTTCGATGTTCCAACAAAGCTGCCCTGCCCTGGCAAATGCCCCCACAGAACTCCTCCGAAGCCCTGTGCACACCGTCTACAGGAGTCCTGACAGCAGCATGCCCGCAGCTTGTGCAGGAGTGACCGCCGTTCCCCTTCTGGACACGTCACCCACTGGGGCTCGTTCCTGTGTAAGCAGTGCTGCAAGTGAGGGGACAGGTCTCCAGTCTTCCGGTCACCTCAGCAGCATCAACTGACCCTCTGCTCAGACTCTGAAGCTCGTCACTTCAGACAGCAGTCACCACCACAGTCTCCAAGCAGAATCCGGAAGAAGGACAGACTAAGCCCTCACCTCCTCTGCCTGTGTACCCCTGGGACGTGTTAGCTGGTGAGAAATAAGATTCTTATTAGATTATAGTCCCTCGTGGAGGCAAATGGTTTCTTCTCAGTACTGGCAGGAAAAGCAAGAGTTCCTTCTTTCTCTAACGTCCCCTGCATCCACAAGAACCCCACAGTGAGAGCTACGCACGCCTTTTGTCCATGGTTAGCAGACTGGGCTAGTTCTCCATGATCTCAGCTACCCCTCCTCCTGCTCTTCCTCGCCTAGAAAAATTCTCCCACAAAAAATATTCACACTAACATGCCAATTCTAATTTCTTTGTAGTGCAAACTCCTGGCCCTATTGGTGAGTTGCCTGTAGATGAACTGGATCAGCCTGAGTGACAGTCTATGACAAAGAAGGACGTTGGCTCCAGCTGTCCCCAAATCCTGTTCCTCGGCCACGCCTCCCCCTGTGTCACACCGTCCTTCTCAGAGACTCATATTTTAGAAAATGGGGGTCCCACTGCCCTAAAATCAGCATTTATTGTTTATGATTGTAACGCTATGTCAATAAACACTGGAATAGCTAACCGAAGCAAACCTGATGGTCAAGAGGGCTGGAGGGAAGGGTAAAGCTGAAAGGGGGTGGCTGCGAAAATGAAGCCTGCGTGGGGAGGGCGGGCGGGCGGGGTGGGGGGGTGTGGAAGAAGGCAAGGGTGGGGACGTAACTAAGGAGCTCACCGGCAGCACCTGCCACAAAAAGCAAGCCTGAGGAGGCAGCCCTCCCTCCTAGCTAAATCTGGAGGGAGGCCGGGTGCTTGATGCCAGGCTGCTTGATGCCAGGCTGCAGGCAGCAAGGATGCCATGGGGACCACTGGTGCCGAGTGCTCAGATCAATGCTGCCTGGGAAGGCCGCTCTCAGCGAGCTCCTTCGGAGAACAGTTTGCCTGCTTTGTCTCTAACCACAATCTTCTTTTGTTTTTTCTGTTTGTAGCACAGTTTACAGAATCCAGTGGTAAGTCCCTGATGTATTTTTTCTCTCTCTCTGGTGTTCCTTGCCCTCGCATACTGTTCAGAGGGCCTGTTCCTCCTCGTGATGGTTCTTGTTGCCGTACACCACCGCCATACTTCCCACTTTGTACCTGCTAAGAACTCTCTAGAGTTACATATTAGGAGAGGGACTGCAGAGATGGCTCATTTGTTAAGAGCAATGGCTGCTCCTGCAGAGGACCCAGGTTCAGTTCCCAGCACCCACATGGAGGCTCACAACCGTAACTCCAGCTCCAGGGATCTCTGTAGATACCAAGCACACACATAGAATACAGATATACATGCAGGCAAAACACCCATGTACATAAAATAATTAAATTTTTTTGCAAATGAAAGAAAAGGAGAAAGGAAATCACTAAATGTCACGATGTACTCTGAAACATGGTATGCTCTTATAACATATAACATGTGCTATACACAGAATAATTTTCCCAGGCCCCAGAGAAAGGTGGCTCGGGAGAGCTTTGCAGTTTACAGAGGCCCTGCTAGAAGATGATGGTAATAACGTAGAGAAAATAACAAAGGGCGAGAAAACTTTCCAAATAAGCCCTAAAGAGGGGAGACAATACAGTCCGAACAGACTGAGGCTGGTTGGTCTTGGTGCTGTGGTGCGTACAGCCCCGCAGGCGTCCACAAAATCATGACCTCTGTGACCTCTGTGACCTCTGCAGCAGGTGTTGTTTTCCACCCTGAATGCTGGTCTTAAGGATTTTTTTTTTTTTGAAAATGAATAAAAGTCATCATAGTTGACTTTTGGCACACGCCTGTAACCCTGAATCACAGCTACCTCCATCTCTACTATTAACTATCCCACACCTGCTGCCTTGGAAATTCTCATAGGGAGAAAGTTTTGTTGTTGTTGTTGTTTTTAGCAACTCAAAGTCTCTGAAGAGCCACCATAGGTGTGCTGCGTGTGAATGCTTTTGAAATATTATAATATATACATGAAGCTGTACTGCTGGTTTTATTCCTTCTAGCCTCCCTGTAAGTTGTGGATGAAAAAGAAAGTTTAGAGCAGGCTAATTAAAACTAAAAGAATTTACAAAAACGAACGGGGAAGAGAAGCTTATCGGAGGCCCAGGTGGGGCGCGGGTGTGAAGGGGCTGCAGAGGCCCGGAGCACACGGACCACGATGCTCTCGGTCTCAGTGTCAAGAATTCTCCATCCTGGCTGGAGAGGAGGTAAGTGACGGCTCCCTGACGGCCGTCCTGTGTTTGCTCTTCCCTCAGAAGAACCTTCACAAGCCTGCCTCCGTAAGTCACACGCTGTTCTGTTCGCTGTTCGTGAGTAAAGACTCTCAGAGAGGCCGGGCTCTTTCGCCCCTTCTTCCTTCTGCCTCATGCTCCTCCCCTGCTCCTCCTCTGCTCCTCCCCTGCTCCTCCCCTGCTCCTCCTCCCCTGCCCCTGCCCCTTTACTTTTTCCACCATCTAGTTGGTGCCTGTCCCCAGGAAGGAAGGCGCATATACTGTAACCCTCGTATGGAGAGCTGGAGAGGAGAACCGGGTTCAAGGTCACCCTTAGCAAGCCCGATGCCAGTCTGAGCTACAGGAGCTCTTGTCCAAAAAACAAAAACAAAAAAAAAAAAAAAAAAAAAAAAAAAAAAAAAAAAAAAAATTCGAGGAAACCTCCCAAAGTTTATAGCAACTT